ATAAGGAAGGAAGGAAGGAAGAGAAAGCAAGCATGCAAGGAAGGAAGGAAGGAAGAGAAAGCAAGCATGCAAGGAAGGAAGGAAGGAAGGAAGGAAGGAAGGAAGGAAGGAAGGAAGGAAGGAAGGAAGGAAGGAAGGAAGGAAGGAAGGAAGGAAGGAAGGGAAAGCAAGCATGCAAGGAAGGAAGGAAGGAAGGAAGGAATGAAGGAGGGAAGGAGGGAGGGAGGGAAGAAGGAAGGAAGGAAGGAAGGAAGGAAGGAAGGAAGGAAGGAAGGAAGGAAGGAGGAAGGAGGAAAGGAAGGAAGGAGGGAAGGAGGGAGGAAGGGAAGAAGGAAGGAAGGAAGGAAAAGACAGAAAAGAAAGGAAGAAAGTGAGAAAGAAAAAGGAAGATAGGAAAGAAGGAAGGAATGATGGAAAGCAGAGGGAAAAAGAAAAAGGAAATGGAAAATAAAGGAAAGGAAAGAAAGAAAAGGAAAAAAGACTCAATCCTACTTCTACCAACCATTTCTCATGGTGTACAATCTCGTGGTGATTTTCTTCACCCGGCTTAAATACTTCCTCCTTTAATATTACATATTAATTAATATTTAATTAATTAATAATTAATTGATATTTAATATTACATATATGAAAGAAATAAAGCATTCTTAAGCTACAAAGGTAGTCCTCAATCTCTTGTGTACAAGCCCAAGCTATCTCAAGAGGTAGAGCCTAGAAGAAGCTATGGGTCAAGTCTGGTCCTAAGCAAGTGCAAGGGCAGGAGCCCTGGCAGCCTTCCTGTGCCCCGTCTCATGTCACTCAGCCTTACCATGACATTGCAAACTTGCCTGACCCCAAACAGGCTGCCAGCTGTCCACGTCAACAGGAGATTGCTTTTTAAGTAGTTCTATGACTCTGCATGCAGAGTCTCCTTTGAACAAACCTACGTATACTATCGTGATGAACCCAAGTACTAAGCAACTTCCCTCAAACTTCTCAGATCTCAATATCAAACCACACATATTGCAAACATGAAATGCATCCGTAAAATTAAGCCTGCCAGGCACCCGTGGCTCACGCCTGTCATCCCAGCTACTCAGGAGGCTGAGATCTGAGGATCGAGGTTCGAAGCCAGCCTGAGCAGAAAAGCCTGTGAGACTCTGATCTCCGATTACTCCCCAGAAAGCTGGGAAGGGGCGCTGTGGCTCAAGTGATAGAGCGCTAAGTCTTGAACAGAAAAGCTCAGGGACAGTGCCCAGGCCCTGAGTTCAAGCCTCAGGCTACACACACACACACACACACACACACACACTCAGATGCGTGGGTGAATGGATTAGATTATTGCATGCTCCCTGTGTTCGTGCATACGCAAACTCAGAACTCCATCCTGTCCTGTTCAGATTCCGCCTTGTTTCATTTCCTACCACATCCCACATCATTTCACGGGCCCTCAAAATGATCGAGGAAAGCTGCTTTCCTGGCTGGGTGCCCCAGGGTGTGACCCAGATCATCCAGTGATGCTCTCTCTGCAGCTGTGAGCTCCCCGGACATCACATTCTGCCCAAGACAAATGAGATAAAAAATGAATGCCTTCAGGTAAATATTTGCCTTCTTCCTAAGTGAGTTCCTTCCGGCTGGTTCTGGAAGCTTCTCCCGCAGCTGGGCAGAGTCACGTGGACAGGTCTTGACCAGCGGAATCTCAACAGCTGGATGAGTGAAATGTTCAGATACCTGCCTGGAGCAGACATGTTCTTTCCCAAGTAATATTCCTTTCCTCCTCCTGAACATAACCGTCAGAGGATCCACTTGGCATGTTCCAAAACACTCGATGAAAGAGGCAGCCAAGGGGAAAAGATAAACACGCAGGAAGTTTGGGTCGATCTCTGCCCAGCTGTGGTTAGAGAGAACTCATCTCAGAGAAATACAAAAACTCAGTCGCTTTAATTTCGCACAGAATGCCTTGAAAATATTTAAGGCTCTTATCGAAGAAGGAAAAACACCACTTCCTGAAGAGTGAGACAAATGTTCTGTGTCCAGCCGCAGTTGCCCGGATCCAGATTTCCATTCCTTATTCCTCTCTGCTTGTTAGACCGTACTTGAGGCTTGACTTCCTGTTTCCATTGATTCTAGTTTCTATTAGAATCGTATTCCTCAATTCCTTTGATTCTTACATACTGCTATCTTCCAAATTAAGATGTTAGTACCTGTTACTATATAACAGGAACTGTTATATATTATTCATAACATACATTATATCTATTACATGATGCATATATATTACATATATAATATAGTATATTACATACAATTATATATTATAGACATATAAATGATCTATTTATCCATATATGATTTCTATAAATATATCATTTATATTTAAAATGCATAAAATAAATATTTATATAAATATATTAGTCATAGAATATCTATTTCACAAATAATACATAATATAATGTGTTTACATAAGTATATTTAATATATGTATAAAAAATATATATTTATAGACTATCTTATATATAAATCATGTACAAAAAGCATACACTTAATAAACAAGCATATAAATAGTATATATGAATGAGATACAGCGCAATTCGGTCCACCTTCTCGACGAGATGTAAAGGTTCTAGTTAGCATCCACTTTTTCCTCTCATTTGCACTGGCATTTTAACTTGTAAACCGTCAGCAGCGTTAGGTTGGTGATCATTCACTGTGACTGATCCCTGCTTTGTTAGCAATGCAATCATTCCTTAGCCTTCTCTGAAATCCTTTCTCCTGTGAAGTAAGGCTGGTCATTTGTAAATATTTTCAGCCTATTATTTAAGGTGTTTTATTTTAACTTGGCGATGTGGAGGCCTCGTCCCTGCTTGGTTGGAGCTCTGCCACCTGCACCAGGCCACGGGTTATTTGGGATTCTACCTATTTCACACCTCCATGTGTATCATGCGGCATTCAAACCATTCTCAGGAGGGCTTGAGGCTGGAGATGCACACTGGTGGCCCTACCTACTTGGGTGGCTGAGAGCCACTGTTTAAAAACAGTGCAGGGGAAGAAGAAAATTGTCCACCCAACTCCATCGTCCACTGATCAGCAAAAACCCAAACAGGAGGTGTGGCTCATGCGGTAGTGTACCCACTCACAACGAAGCTAAATAAGTGCAAGGTAACTCTGCAGTCCAAACCCCGGTAAAAAATAATCAAGAGAAAATTGTTGGGAAAAAAATTGAAGACCTAGATCACTGTGCAAGGTGACTACTTCTCGGTAATTATCATTCATTCATTCATTTAGTATCAAAAGGAAGAGATTTCCTTTTTCTGATAGGGTCAATCTTCTTCAGAAAAGCAGAAAGTTCCTGCTTGCAACGTGTTTGTTAACAGGTGATTAACTGATCATCTAAAGTAGCAGAAAACGACTTTCAACTCCAGGCTGTGGTTAAAACTTGCAGTCCCTCCCTCAAGAGAGAGAGAGAGAGAGAGAGAGAGAGAGAGAGAGTGTGTGTGTGTGTGTGATTACCAGGGCTTGAACTCAGGACCTCAGCACAATCCCTTAGCTTCCGGTTTTCTGGTGATTCACTGGAGATCAGAGTCTCACAGACTTTCCTGCCCCAGGGTGGCTTTGAACCTCGATCCTCAGATCTCAGCCTCCTGAGTAGCTGGGATGACAGGTGTGAGCCACCAGTGCCCGGCCAGAGTGTAACTTTGGTGCCGTGATGAACGAGAATTCCACAAATCCCACAGAGAGAGATCCACGAATATGTTTTTCCCTGCCAGCAAATTCGAAAATATTTATCTTCGGCAAAACTGCATTTTGTAAGTGAGACGTACCCCGGAATAACTTAATGAGCCGTGGAAATTCTTCTAAAATGTGTGGCTGACCTACGGTGGCCCGAAAATATTTCTTTCATGACAATAAGGAAAAACAAAAGTAGTAACAAATGTTTTATAAACCAGTTTTTTGTTTTTTTTTTCAGTGGAGGAAAAAATGCTTTTACAACGTGGAGAAAAATATGTCTCCTTAAGACAATGCAAAAATAAAAAGAATTATCATCTGCCAGTGGCCAGACATTCCGCTCACAATGAGTGTGAAAAATTATCATTATAAAGCGAGCTGTCATCTGACTGCAAAAGACCATGTGCTCTATTTTTATGGGCACAGATTTCATACATTTTGATGGACTTAAAAACAACAACAATGATGTGAAGTCATCCGCATTCAGAGAGATAAAGGACACGCATTTTCTCTCACATGTGGAAGGCAGATCTAAACGGTGAACACACGCATTTGCACACATGCACACACAGATCCACTAACTGCCAAGGCAGGGGGGAGATTCCGACGGTGTAACTCCTTAACACAAGTAGCTCACAGGCTCACCACACAAATACCAGAGCCGTGGCTCACCCCTATAATCCCGGCTCGTCAAGAGGCACAGCTGAGGATCGAGGTTCAAAGCCAGCCTGAATAGGAAAATCCTTGAGACACTTATCTCTAATTACCCCCCAAAAGCAGTGCAAACCCTTTGTGCCACAACTTGAAGACAATTTTAAAAAATTTATAAAGCTGCGTAAATCGATATTATTCTCATAAACGGACACCATTCCATTGAAACCCTTTATATAACCCCTTATCAAAAACAACTTCATAAATGCGCACATAAATATCAAGGAGAGAAGGGACATAAACTGTCCTATGTGCCTAGTAGCAAAGGTGGTAATTGGATTTTTTTTCTTTCAGGTCCTGGGACTTGAACTCAGGGCCTGGGCACTGTCCCTTTGCTCCTTTGCTCCAGGCTAGAGCTCTACCACTTGAGCCACAGCGCCACTTCCAGCTTTTTCTGTGGTTAATTGGAGATAAGAGTCTCACAGACTTTCCTGCCCGGGCTGGCTTCGAACCGTGATCCTCAGATCTCAGCCTCCTGAGTGGCTGGGATGACGGGCGTGAGTCACCTACAGCCATCAGATTTGAACAGGTGTGTCTGTGGTAGGTGTTTTATACGCGTGTGTGCGTTGTAAGGTTTTTCTTACCCAGTGTGGAACCGGAATGATGGGATTGGCTTCCAGAGTCTTGTAAACAGATCCCAACAGGAACCGGGTCATTAGAAAGACAAAAGCTGGAAGAGTAAAAGCAGACCGTTAACGGCATTGTTTCACTTAGGAAATCTGTCCACCCTCACTCCTGAAAGCAGGAAATGCCTGCTTGGGTGGTTTTCTTTTTAAATTTTATTTTCAAGATAAATTCTTATTTATAGATGGAAATTTATACGTGCATACGCTTTTACATATACATTTACATAGATAAGCATAATAACATGGTGCTTTGCAGCAGAAGACATTAGCTTGCCATTCTAAAGCCACCAGAATTACTGTAAAATCCTATTTGTGCATAGATGCCAATCGCCTAAGTAGTCTGGCATTTGGTCTTACTTTCATGGAAATAGCGTACACATACTTTAGAACAGGTAATACTAAAATAGATTCCTCTTTCTCAGAATTTGTTATGGGTCTTCTTAAATCTTCTTCTTCTTCTTCTTCTTCTTCTTCTTCTTCTTCTTCTTCTTCTTCTTCCTCTTCTTCTTCTTCTTCTTCTTCTTCTTCTTCTTCTTCTTCCTCCTCCTCCTCCTCCTCCTCCTCCTCCTCCTCCTCCTCCTCCTCCTCCTTCTTCCCTCTCCTCCTCCTCCTCCTCCTCCTCCTCCTCCTCCTCCTCTTTCTTTCCTCTCATCTTCCTCCTCCTCCTCCTCCTCTTCGTCTTCCTTCTTTTCTTCTTTCTTCTTCTTTTTGTTCCAGGATTAGGGCTTGAACTCAGTGGCTCATTTTCTTGCTTAGCTTTTGCCCTCAAGGATGAGGGTCTACCACTTGAACCACAGCTCTACCTCTTTCTAGCTTTTTGCTGGTTCTTTGGAGATAACAGTCTTATGGACTTTTCCTGACCAGGTTGGCTTTGAACCTTGATCCTCAGATATTAGCTACCTGAGTAGCTGGGATTACAAGCATGAACTACTGGCACCTGACCAGTTTTACAGCTTCACTGATGATTCTGCTTTTCCCACAAGCTTTATGGGAGGTTTATTATTGTCTGATACCTTCTCAGAGTGTGATTGTTCTAGAAAGCTTTTCCTTCCAAGTAAGTCACCAAGATGACAAGGAGAAGAATGTGAGTGAACTTATCCATTTACTAATTACTACACTGGAAACTTTGGCAAGATGAGGAATAGTTATCACTAAAGAGCATTGAACATCAGGAATGGCATGCTAAGCTAAAATAGAGACGCTACATATGTAACCAACCAATTAAAATACAGTTTGTAAGCTGGGCCTTGGTGGCTCACGCCTGTAACCCTAGCTACTCAGGAGGCTGAAATGTGAAGACTGGAGTTTGAAGTCAACTTGAGAAGAAAAGTCCATGAGACTCTTTATCTCCAGTTAACCAGCAAAAATCCTGAAGTAGAGTTGTGGTTCAAATGGTAGAGTATCAGCCTTGAGAGAAAAAACTAAGGAACAGCACCTAGGTCCTGAATTCAAGCCCCAGTACACACACACTCACACACACACACACACACACACACACACACACACACATCATTTATGTGTGCTTTTTTACATTGAAACTTTAGTGAAATCCCTCAACCTCTGCTTTTGCTCAGTTCAGTGAGATGTCACAGCTAACCGACATAAACAACCGTAGTTAAATTTACCTAAAATTCAAACAGTATTCATTCCCTCTTATTCTTGGGTGACACAGAATAAAACTCACAGGTAGTAATTTTACCCACAAGAGGGAGCCTTCCATGTTTATATTTTTGTTACAGAACTTGAAAAACAAATTAAAATCTGAAATTCTTCACATTTGGTGATAGCTGTATCTTTCTGTGAGGTCAAGTTTTGGGCCTATTTTTTTTAACATCTTTTTTGACTGTAACAAATCAGGATGTCAGAAGATTTGAAAGATAATTGGAATTTTTAAACATGTCCTACCTAGAGTATCGAACTTGTTTTTATTTTTTTTTTCTTCAGATATAAGAAGAAGAAAAAAAAACACATAGTTGCCAAAATAGCCTAAGAGGAAATTCCTTTTAGGTGCTAGGAACACTAGCTGTGTAAAATTAACTAGAATGTTTAGAAGTGCCAGAAAAACAAGTTTAATTACATAGCAAGGAAAGAGTCTGGTCATGCGCATGTTAGAAAAGAGACTTCCATCCACCCTTCATTCTTTATGTGTTTGTGGGACAGAAAACACCCTGTTTAAAAAGATAGGCAGAAAGATCCCTTAAAATAAGCAAAAGAAATGTTAAATACTGTTATGATAGCATTCTTAGAGTTGAGAGAATACCTTCAAAACAAAACCGGGCTCAGAAGCTCCCGCCTGTCATCCTAGCTACTCAGGAGGCTGAGATGTGAGGATCACACAGTTTGAAGCTCGTGACACTCTTATCTCTCACTAGCTACCAGAAAACCAGAAGTGGCGCTGTGGCTCAAAGTGGTAGAATGCTAGCCTTGAGAGAAAAAGCTCAGGGACAGCGCTCAGGACCTGAGTTCAAGCCCCAGCACCAACAAGAAAAGGAAAGTGAAAAATAAATAAAATAATAACTAAATTAAATTTGAAAAAGAAAAAGTAATATAAAATAACAGAATAGAGACGGAGATACATTTGGAGAAGATGGGAGGAATTTCACTGAGGAGTTAAAGTAGCTCCAAATACGAGCCTTTGTGTTTTGTGTATTTGGTTTGTTTTACCTATTCAGAAAGTTCACCACTGCGGAGGTTTTATGTTTACCAACTATTCTTGAAAGCAGATGAGGTTTTTTTTTTAATTTCCAAAACCATTTTTATCATTTAGAACATAGTATGATTGGTTAAGAAACAAATATTTTTCTTTTTCTTTTCTTTTTTTCTTTTCTTTTTTTTCTTTTTGGTTGTGGGACTTGAACTCAGGGCCTGGGCGCTGTCCCTCAGCTCTTCAGCTCAAGGCTGGTGCTCTACCACTTGAGCCACAGCGCCACTTCGGGTTTTCTGGTGGGTATGTGGAGATCAGTCTCATGGACTTTCCTCCCCGGGCTGGCTTTGAACTGTGATCCTCAGACCTCAGCCTCCTGAGCAGCTGGGATGACAGCACAAAACAAATCAGATTTTTTGTCTTTTTTTTTTTCTTCCTAGATTTCTTCTTTTCTACTAGCTTCTATTAGCTATCGAGAGATATTGTCCTACCAGGTCCAACTCCCTTCCATGAGCCCCCTTTCCCCACCCAGAGTTAGATTCCCTCCTTCCAGTTCCCCCTTGCTTTGGTTGAGTTTATCCGTGCCCTTCCCATACCCACTTGTACTGTATCACAAGTTTAGTCACTCTTGGTCTATTCTATTTAGATTTTGGGGGGTTTGTGGAAGGGGCTGGAACTCAGGGCCTGAGCTCTATCCCTTAGCATTTTGGCTCAAGGCTGGCGCTCTACCACTTGAACCACACCTCCACTTCCGGTGTGTTGTTGGTTAACTAGGGATAAGAGTCTCATCGATTCTACACCTAGGCTGTCTCAGAACTGCGATCCTCAGATCCCAGCCTCTCGAGCAACTGTGAGCCACCATTCAGACAAACAAATGTCATGTGGAACGTTATTTTCTTCTGCTTTAGGGCATCTTTGAGATAGGAAATACATAGCAACCCTACACTTCAATGCAAAGATTTTAAAAAAGAGCAACACAAGAAAAACCTGTTGCTCAGATAGAATTCGAGTGAGAGCGAAACAAAAGGAAAGGGAAAGAAGAAAAAGAAAACTACATGTTCACAGAAGATCTTGTCTCTTTGGGAAATATATAATATATATATCAACTATTTACACCCTTGCAATAGATACAAGTCTAAATGAAGAAGAAATGAGAAAAGCAAATTTAAAACAGAATTGTAGCAACAGCCTCATGGGAGATTTTTCTGTTTTGTTTCATTGGCTTCAATTCCTATAGCTAGCCAGGTGCTGGTGGCTCCCGCCTGTCATCCCAGCTACTCAGGAGGCTGGGATCTGAGGATCGTGGTTCAAAGCCAGCCAGGGCTGAAAAGTCCATGAGACTCTTATCTTCAATGAACCATCAAAAAGCCAGACGTAGAACGGTGGCTCGTGTGTTAGTTTGTCAGTTAACCACAGAAAATGCCCCATGAGAGGATTTGAGTTCAAATCACAGTATCCCTAGCGCACGCACGCGCGCGCGCGCGCACACACACACACACACACACACACACACACACACACGTTATCCTTTATTCCATTTTCCAACCAAAGTCATTCATCCTCTATTAGATAAAGTATAATAAACTCTACAGAAAGGGTCGCTGGCCTTCTATTTAATAATATTGCCAGCCCCAAATTTGCATTTTCCAGCAATGTCTCGCAACACACAATAAATGGCTGATCTCTTCACAATAACAGCTGATTTCTATTTATTAAGCTAAAAAGGTCACCATTTTCTACGGCGGGGCGGCCCTGAACTATTGATAATTTTATGCATAAACAAATGGCAAATTTGTGCCACATAAATATGCATTAGCAATTACTTTCTCCCAGGGCAACGTTGAGCGCATGCAAATGTGTAGCTCCCAGGGCCTGGTGGCTTTTGTTTTAGACTCTTGAACAAAAGAGCACAATAAACAATTTGGAAATTGTCAATCCATAAGCAAATGCAAATGCGGAAAAAGTAAGATGGCCAGCAATGCGCTTGCAGACAAAAGTAGGTGCTGGGAATGGGGGGTAGATATGGGGGGGACTGGAGAGGACTCGCAAAGAGGAAGGACATTGCATTGGATTTATTTCTTTCTGGTCCCTCATGAAAAGACTAAAGTACTCTCCACACACACACACACACACACACACACACACACACACACACACACACATCACCACCACCACCACCAACAGAAAGAGGGTGGGTGGTCATGGGATTTCAGAGACGGTTTCTCAGACTCATTTTTCTGATTTTTCCAATCTCGGATGGGCAAAGATGTTTCCTTCTTGGTCAAAGAGAATCTTCTAGAAAAAAAAAAACAAAAACAAAAAAAGAGACAGAAGTGAACCCCAATTCTTCTATTCTGTGCTTTGTTTGTTTGTAATGACTGTAGAATGGAAGGAATGCAA